TAGATTTTTTTTTTTTTTTTTTTTTTTCAAGTCCATGGTGTTGTAGAGGCCAGTCACTGAGTGCACAGTGATCACCTGGAGCAGTTGGCCGTGGGTGTTCTGGATTATCTACAACATCATACTTTTTATTTATTTTTTTGAGAATTTTTTTAATGCTAAAAAAAATTGTACTTTGATCACGGCCGCTTGCCGAGTTTGACCCCGTGAAAAGATCTACAACATCATACTTTGAAAGTCATAGCCGCACCCAACATCTCGAAAAGATCTACAACATCATACTTTGAAAGTCGTGGCCGCACCCAACCACGGCCAGAGGGGAGGCGGCCGTGATCACGGTCGCCTGCCGAGTTTGACCCCGCGACCGCAGCCGCGGGTGATACATAGTTCACCGTGTCTTGGGGCTTGTAGAAGACCAACGGATTATTGTCCGTTACCCATTGGAATTGACTTTGACCGAGAAGAAAGTGCCGCCACCGCTTAAGCGCGTGTACGAAGGCCAATAACTCCTCCTTCCGTGCGTCGTCAATCGAGTGCACGACGTGCATCTTTTTACTAAAGTACTCAACTGGGTGCCAGTCTACTCCATCGTGTTGCTCGAGGACGGCACCAATGCCATAGCTGGACGCATTGGTAGTGACGCGTGTCAGCAGAAGTGGGTCGTAGATGCGTAAAACCTCCGCGGATAGCAAGGCGGCTTTAAGGGCCGAGAAGGAAGCCCGCGCATCGTCATTGAAGTATAGCTGATCCTCGCATTGGAGCTTGGTCAAATTTGCCGCGATCTTCGAATGGCCTTGGATAAAGCGTTGATAGTATCCGGCGAGGCCGAGAAAGGAGCGGAATTCCGTGATATTCTTCGGTTCCGACCATTCTTGGACGGCTTGAATCTTGTCTGATAGCGGACTAGTGCCCTCCGGTGTGACAAAATGGCCCAAGTATTCCAACTCTTGACGTATGAACTCCCACTTGTCGCGGTTGGCTTTGTACTTGGTGCGACTGAGCGTCTCCGACACACGTTGAAGGTGCTCAAGATGATCTTCCAAGGTACGGCTATGGGCGAGAACGTCGTCTAAGTAGATCAGCACAAACCGATCCAGCATCAAGCGGAACTCGTTGGTCAATGCCGCTTGAAAGGTCGTCGGGGCATTGGTGAGGCCAAAAGGCATGACAACCCACTCAAAGTGTTCGTACCCCGTTTTAAACGTGGATTTGTAGCGATCTTGCGGGCGTACTGAAATCTGACGATAGACCAACTTCAAGTCCAACTTGGAAAAATATTTTGCGCCGCCCAAATGCTCAAGAAGATCGTCAACACGAGGAAGAGGCCCCGCATTCTTGACAGTTTGCTCGTTGTGCTTGCGATAGTCAATGCACAAGCGAAGATCCTTGTTCTTCTTCCTTATGAAGAGAACCGGCGCGCCATATGGTGAGCAACTAGGGCAGATCCAACCCCTTTCCAACGAGTCGTCGAGTTGTGCGTGGAGAACCATGAGCTTTTCCTCGCTCATGCGCTAGATGCATCCTTTCGGCGCCACGACACCGGCGTCAAGAATGATCTCGTGGGAGATTGGTCGATCCGGCACCACACCAGTAGGAGACTCGAAGACGTCGGCGAACTCGTCAAGCAACCGCACCACGCGGGTGTCCGAAGACAAGTCCGTAGGTGAAGATTCAGCCGCTGCGACAGTCCTAAAAAAACATAGCCGATCTCGTTGGTCTGCTTGTAAGTGCAAGTGGACCGGAAACACTTGGTCGTCACAACTTGGGACTAGATCGAAGGGTGCGGAAAAGGAATGGTACACAGCACCTTGGCGCCAAAGGAGTCGCAAACAGTAAGCGCCCGTCGATGGAAGTTGACCATGTGATGCAAAATAATGTCGAAGTTTGTGTTCAGGATGTCAAACGTAACCGGCTAGCATGCATGAGATGCAAAATAGACCGGCACGACTTCGATGTAGCGATCAAGAAGTTGCATCCGACCGTCCTCCATCTTAAACCGTCGTAGGATGTGGCTTCCTCCGAACTTGTGCGCCAAGGCCGCCCCTTTGTATAAAGGACTGGCTCATGAAATTGCGAGTCGCATCGCTATCCAACAAAGCATTGCAGAACACTTGCCCAACTTGGATGCAGACATAAAGGAGCGGTGCGTTGTTGTTGTCGTACTGCTGTCGAGCGCATCGGTCCGACCCCGCACAAGGCAGCACGGGACCCTCTCGGCCGCGTCACGCAGGAGTTGGTCTAAATCCTCGTCGCGAATACATAATGGAGCTTCCGCAAGCCGCTCCGACCGAGTGCGCCAGCCATACCTCTCGCGAGCCCCTTCGACAGGAAAGGGCCTACGAGAGGCACAACTTTTCTCCACCTTGCGGGAACTGTCACCTCCCTTCGGTGGGCCCGCCGAGCTACCAGTCCACAATACGAAAGCTAATCAGGTGCAATCGCAGAGGTGGACCAGCCGAGGGTGTTTCTCGTACGCTGTAGCATAGGGGGTACGAGCGGTATTATGCCTCTATCGGGCCCGCACGCGAACCGACATCTTGGGGGGCTGAGGTCCCAAGCGCGACTCGTCGTCGGTCGACTAGGACGCATCCCACACTCCACGCGCACACCACTTTAAAGAACATAATAAAATAAAATTTAAAAAAAAAAAAACACGCTCACATACATATTCGCAAAACGACACTGAGCAAACGACGCGACAACTCTCCTAATCCCTTAGTAGCCATCCCATAATTCTCCGATGCGGAAATCGGATAGGCGTCACACGCGAGACTTAGTATAAAACCGTGTGGGCGCAGGGTCTTCCCATGTCGACGAGCAATGCATGAATACGCAAGCAGTCGCAATGATGGCGTACTATGTAGTGCCTACAATCAAGCGGTCCTTCGTGGATCCGAGTACCGCTTATGACACTCAAGTGTCAAACTCGAAGTATCGTGAAGGCTTACCCCTTCACGATATTGCACAGCTGAAGGAATAGTCGTGCGGCCTCCGTGGCACCTCCGGCCTTTAGGCTGAGTGTCTCGGCAGGCAGGGCAAATAGGCTCTGTGCGGGGGGAGATCCCTTCCATGCAGAGCCTAGGGCCTGGGATGTCCTGGACAAGGACCTCGAATCCAGGCCCAGGACCAACGTCCGACTAAAAAATCTTTAAGAAGCATACAACACATAGAGGGTTTTTTTTTCCTTTCTCAGTCTCAACCCCAATTAAACCCCTAAGCGTGGGCCCTCTCAGGCCATGTGAACACCCAACATAGGTATATGCATATATACATGTAAAGGGGAATAAGTATGTGATGATCACTTCTCACAATCACAGTGGGACTAATCACAACCATATGTATGTGTGTGATAGCAGGCAGTCAAATCCAAATTCGAACCACAGTATATACCTGCAATCACATCAAAGAGAACCAAAAGTCCACGCACTGCACGGACTCAACTTCAACCAATCTCTATACTCATACCCCTCGCTTTAGCCATGCAAGCCCCAACCCTTGTCCAACCAACCATAATTAAATACTCAGTACCTTTGTTAAATGATGATTCAATAAAGTCCGGGTGAAAACCTTAATACAACAATAAAATCACCAGGGCTAAAGCCTTTTAGGTTGAGTATTGAGGATGAATTGGAGTTGAGTCGTAGACCGACGAATCGGCAACCGATATGTTATCAGTGATAACAGAAGGTGATCCTTGTAGGATCAAGCTGAATATAGTCCTGATTTCAAATCAAACGTTCAAAAGGACCTGTAACACAAGACAGGCCAACCCCCAGCTAAATCTATGAGTCCAAATCGAGAGTAATCTCCATATCACAATTTCACCAAGAATCATTCTACTCAACTAATCTTGAGTGTACCCTTAAGTCAGTGCCTAATGAAAAGGTAGATCTTTGGCAAAATCTCTTCTATGCAGAGCGGATTATTAGAATTGCCACCTGTCAAAATATAATCTAACTCCTCTGAACTAATAAAATTTCGGCAGCGCTTCCCGTAGGAAAAGTGCCTTCTCAGAATTTATAATAACTCATGTATGGAAAACAAAAACGATCTCTAACTCTGGAAGTCAAAATTTGTCTAACTCCCTAAATTAGTAAAAATTTGGGCAGCACTTCCTTTAGAAAGGTAGACCCCCCAGACTTATACTAAGTCAGATATGAACTCAGAAACAAGACCTGAGTTCAACTAAGACAAAATTTAACTAACTCCTTGGGCAGCGCTTCCCGTAGAGAAAGTGTTATTCCAAGATTTATACAAAGCTAAGTTCAGAATCTAAAATGACACTGACTCTTCAAGGTCTAATGTTGTCTAACTCCTTGAATGAGCAAAAATTTAGGCAGCACTCCCTCTAGAAAAGGAGGGTTCCCAGATTTTTACTAAGCCAAAAAGTCAGAAAAATTGGAGCCTGAAAAAGACAAAATCTGACTAACTCCTTGGTTGTGTAGAAATTTCGGCAACGCTTCCCCTATCAAGATTTATACAAGACCAAGTACAAATAAAAGATCCCAGAAAATAGAGAAATTGACCTAAGTAAAAAAAACTTAGCCCAGAAAATGGAGGAATTGAAACTAACTCCTATGGCTCTAGCACGTGGCGAGCAACTAAAGCAACTACCTATCAATTGACAATTAGACTAAGTAGTAGGCGCACTCAGTCTCATGCAAGCCAAACCACAAAAGTAAGTACTCTCACCATCCCAAAGTCTAAAAGTCAATCACAACCAGCCCTCACAAATCAGAGCAACCAGACCACCCAAACTTATGGAACATGTCTGGTTCTCCAGGCAATTCAAAATAAACATAGCACTAGGCCTCCCCAAACTTATGAAGACTTGCCCAACCTTTGGTTGACCCAATCAGACACAAGCAATACAACCTTCCTCCCATCCTTCCCCCAGATGCAACCCCACAATCTGCTTTCAGTCAACCAATGAAATTGAAACTGACATTACGCATACATTCCTTTACTTAGTTTGGTTTATCCTGAAAGTCAAGCTGAAAGTCAAAGTAGGGGATGTCAAAACATATCAAGGAATACAAATAAAGGTTATAACTGGGTTTATAGAGGGGAAGCAATGGTACCTTTCAATTCCCTACCTCCGTAACTCCTCCCGAGTTTCGGCAGAGCTCCCGCAATCGGTGGGCTGACTCCCCACAGAGTCTTGCTGCGGTCCTACGGGTTGCAATCCCGCCTGCCGCCTTCCTCTCAGTTTAGGACTAGACTTGGAGTAAGAAGGATAGAAAGAGAAAGTTAAGTCTCTCATATCCAAGGAGGGTGCGCTCAGACTCGCGTGAGAGGGCCTGGATACCTTCACTCGCCTGAGGGCCCCACAATGATGGCCAAGAATGCTGCTGCAGAAGTCAAACCGCCAGCCGCTAGCTCTCCTGACGAGCCTCCAAACCCCAACAATGACCTCCTCTACCGTTTGAGGCTACGACACCACCTCCTTAGATCGGATTGTCAATAGCCCGCACAAAACGGTCGCTATGAAACGAAGCGAGCCTCTACGCAGCGAACACCTCGTACGTGGCTGTTGTGATGTCGCAGTCTGGTACAACAGTAGCACCTAACACAAACTCAGCGAAAGAGTTGCGGAGTGTAGCGGAACTTGTAGTGCCACAGTCTCACATCAGCAGAATTACGCAGCGAGCTGCAACAAAACTCTGAACACAGCAGCTCTCGGGCACAACTACAACAATATGGCGGTCACAACACAGTACCAACCGATTGGGACTTACAATCACAGCTACAGCAATCTGAGGATTTAACCGGCAACCGTATTTATCGCTCACACTGCAAATCCCAAGGGTGAAAGTGGCGAGCCAACTTATAGCTTAGGAGCAGCTTTGCCAAGTTCCACATAGCTCGCTATACCCGCTTACTCCTGTCTGCAGCGAACAACACTTGCCCACGTAGTCTGCCAGGTCGCAGAATCACTGCTCTCTTTACTCAAACGGCCATTTCGTTTCTTGTCACGCTCTCCCCCTTTCCTTGCAACCTGTTAACGCGCTGGCAGGTGAACGAGCGGTATACCTGGTCATCAGACAGAACCGCAGCCTCTTCCATCCGCTACTCCGGCTTAACGGAGTGAGTGTGCACTGTCCAACACACTAGGCTCCTTTTGCTGCTCGCTCGGCACTCCTGTGCACTAGCCAACTAGCAAGTCCCCAAGCTCTGCGGCTGCCTGCCTGTTCTTGATCACTCCGGGCGACAGATTGATCGACGCACAGGTCAGTAGGCCCGAGAGTCGGATCGTTGGAATTGACATTGCACTAAAGCAAGCAGCGCTCAAGCAGCCCAATCGTGCCAACCAGCCGTATCGAAACCCGACGTAAGGAGCACAACGACTCCGAACGAGCACACACACGAAAGAAAAAAGAAACAACAGAAATGAATCCACCCTCAAAACATGAGAAAATACATCCTTGTTTTCACCCTCCTTCTTCCTACGCTGCTCTTATCTCACGTTGATGCCATACCGTTGGCTCAAACAAGAATCTAACATGATCATCCCCTCCAGAGTACCTTAAAGCCCCTAACCAAACTCTTCACTCGCTCGATTCTTTAGACAATCGAGAAAGCTATCTCCCTCTTCCTCCCGCTATATCACCTTTATTCCATCTACCACGCTGTATACTGCCTAACTCACTAAACCAACCATACCATTTGGTTCGCCCGGGGGCAAAACCCTCGGGATTGCCTCCTTGCTTACACAAGTCGGGAATGAATCATGCACGAACTCTCTTATGGGCTCCTACCATCTCTTCTACTTCCGACCTCTGCTCGCACCCCTTTCTTCCTTTATCTCAAAACTTATCTACTCACATCAAGAACTGACCTCATAGGTCGACTCGCGACTATAGAAAAACCCTGTAACACTTCTTCCCTCGGCCGATTTCATCAAGAATCGATTGAGCTTTGCAGTAATCACTCTCTCCCATCTCTGCCATCGCTCTAGCTCCGCGCACACCGTTTTTCTATTAGCTCTTATCCTACAATCTCCCGTGCTAATCTGACTTCACTATCAGAATCGCCCCAGGCCTAAACCTCGGGGTTGCCTCCTTCCCCACCGCAACCGCTCATCGGATAAGCGAGGACCAGCCTTTCCCCTTTTGTTGCACTCGTTTCCTGCCATCCCCTTTCCTTGAACGCTCTTGGCACGGTATCAAGCCAGGTTCATCCTCCTCTCGTCACCCTTTTTCGTACCTTCATACCATGTCCCTCTTCGCTTGTTGGCCCGACAGCATCTGACGCCACTCGGCATGCCCATCTACTTTGCTGCCTCGTTTCACTACTTCGCCTTAGCGTCCATACCGCGCCCGTCAGCACTTGGGTGCAACCCAGTATGCATCTCCAATCTTCCTGGTCCGCAGAAGACCGCTGATGGAACCGCCTACTCGTCGGTTCGATCAGTTTTTCGCCCCACAAACCCAAGTCCGTCAATCGACCCGCACATAGCACGCCTGCGAGCCCTCTCCCTCAGCGCTTTCGGCCCTGGTCCGACGACAGGTTTGCACGCCAACACTAGACTTTCTTACCCGCTGCGCCCAGGCGTATCTCCCCTACTACGGCCCCCAGTAGGCATGCTCTCACTCACCTCTCACGGCGGATAGCGGGTGGCGGACATAGTATCTCTTAGCTGCGACCTACTTCGAGGCCTGTAGCACGAGCCTATGCGGAACAGATCTTGATGGTATTAGCAATTATTCAAATAATAACTTAAAAGATCAAAATGGAAAGGGGTCCCATGGGCGCAGCCTGAGTAGAGCACTGCTACATTCATCTTGGCAGTGCTTTGGGCCACTCAGCCCAAGCACAGTCCGTTTTTCTTCAGGTCCCGGCAAGCATAGTAACACTCATCTCTCACAACAAATAGTGGGCGACAATCAGCGCGCCCACCAGAAGCCCCCGCCATTCGGCTTTTCTTCCGCCCTCGTGGCCTAACCACCTTTCGGTCTACATGCACGTTGACTTCTCGGTCGTGTTTCAAAACAGTTAGGATAAAGAAATTTTGCCAATGTCCCAAACATGCCAGAACTCGTAAGTCAGCCAAAAGGAGGTGCGCGCTCAAAGCCCTCGACCGCCATGACGGCCCCGACATCGCGCTAGAGTTAAGAAGCGCATGAGCAGAATAATAATAATACGATGATAAATAAAAAGTATTTAGAAACTTTTAATCGTCGGAATTTTACGAACGAGGAAAAGGGATTGCTCTGATGCCGTCGACGGCAAAAACAAAGGGAACAGGCCGTCGGACCCTCAACTCCTTGGCCCCCCCTTTTTGCGCTATTCTGATACCCTTGCGTCGTTGCCGCTCGACCTCGATCCCTGAATCTCCCCATTGAAAGTCCGACACCATAACCAATAGTACTAGGCCCAAGACTGGGTCTAGTTTTGATGGACACCTAAATAAAGGGATACTACGCGACGTGCTGTCAATGTCGCCCTTCGCACATACGCATAAGTCACAGGCAAGCACATCGATCAACGAGACCTAATCTTTTTAATCCTGAGTTATTCAAAAGTAAAAAAATTCCGGCCGGCGACCACGCCGGTTCTTCAATCATCAACAATAAAAATCACGCACGCCTCAAGCCTGCGCGCCCACACACTCTCTACTCTAGTCAACCATCTAGTCAACGTAAACTACGGACACAGCCTGCGCTTCGCGCGGTACACTCAAACTTTAAATCAAACTTATTCTTTGTCGCCTGCAAAAACCAGGACGGATACCCTTGTAAGGGTATTCGCACCGACACGGGTGTGTGCAAAACTTGCGGGCCACCTTGGTAATATATGTGAGGAGGTCCCCCACCGCAAGTTCGTCATCCGCCGATGAAGTTGGTGGTGCGAAGAAGGATAAGTATGTGTGGAGATAGGCGCATAGTGTTGCGCATTCCAATCCCAGTAAGCGGTCCGTGGAAGGGAAAGGAGCCATGCAAAATCCTCGCTCGACAAACGGTCGAAGACCTCTACGTTGAACACGTGTGCCGAATCCCTAAACTGTCGCCGTTTCTTGACGGAGAAGAGACCGCACACACCCCTTGTCCTTGAGCTAAAGCACCCAGCGATGGAACGAGTTGGGCAGAATAGTCCTCAAAAGAATAAAAAAGAGGACTACGACTTTCGCATGTGCCTCGAAACTAAGGGAGGTTGCTCGGGAAGCAACCGGTTCTGAAGGCGTCGAGAGTGCAGCCATTTCACTCTCGGCGGTGCTCACTTTCCCGGAAGGGACTTTCCCTCGGCTTTCGTGGGACAGTCGGCGGTTTCGTGAATGTTACTGTTGTACCACAAACAATCATGGACTCTCGTCCGGATCTTGTAGACGCTCTCGGAGAGACCATAATGAAGCCAAGGTTCTTGAGCTTTTGTTCTGGGTCAGGGGACTGAAGAGCTGTTTGTCTTCGATTTGCCGCGTCCTCAACCTTTGGCGGGGCGGCCGCCATCCCGGGCGGCGGCTAATCTTTCTCTCTCGTCAGATGAAGCAGCCTCGTTAGAAGAATCGATCGACGTTGGTGCAGCGACCATGGCCACTTTCGACCGATGCTGATCACTGTTCTGACCTGCATAGGATGAATGGCCAGCATTGCGGGCTTCCGTATTCCTCACGTCTGCGAGGCCTTGTTAAATACCAACTCACTTGTGGTGAGCGTCTCCACGACTTGCATCAATGCATTCTGCAATGTCGGGCACGACCTCATGATGAAGTAGTGTTTGATACTGGTAAAGGTGATCGGCAAGTCGGGCATGGATGCCAAGCGATGGTACTCGGTGATCCAATCTGAGCTTGGCAAGGCGTTCTGATGGAACTTCTGCAACTTTTCCATTGCCCGAAGCTCGGGCGGTGACCTTGTGTGTGGACAGCATATTGTCAAGCCATGCTTGACACGCGGCCCCATGACCGGTGATATAAATAAGCATGCGGTCGGGTTCGCTGACTTTATACAAGTCTAAACGCAGGTCGAATTGGCGCCACCATAATTCAGATGAGAGCATGGCAGCGGCGGACAAGTAAACCAGACAAGTCCGGAAACCGGACTCCGGAATTCCCGGTTCGATCCGACTGTCCGGATTTCCGGTATTTCCTGGTTAATCCGGACATGGCCGGATCAGCATGTCCGGATCCATGTCCGGATGAATATATATGTCCGGATCCATGTCCGGATGAATATATATGTCCGGATTAAAAAAAAAAAAAAAAAAAAAGGTGAAATTGTGCCAAGTACGAAGTGCTATGCAAAGTTGCAAAGACTGAAAACAATGAAAAGCCTGAAAAGGCCTGGGGTAAATGGGGGACGTGGGGAAAAGGGAAGTGGGAAAAGTAACCAAGTTTCGGAAACTTGCTGAACACACCTTCTGAAGTACACAGCTACATTCTGCAAAGAAAGTCAAAAGTCAGCAAAGACCACATGGATTGCAACAAGCACCAAACTGGCATGAAGTTATTCCTAAGTCCCAATAACCTTTTATAAAATAGTTTGAACTTCGAACTTTGAGATTTGAAGTTCAGACTTCAAACTTCAAAGTTCAGATTACTCCAGAATTCTAAAGAGGACTCTCTCTCTCTCTCTCTCTCTCTCTCTCTCTCTCTCTCTCTCTCTCTCTCTCTCTCGGCGTTTATCACCAGTGGGGCGTTCTTCATCACCCGTGCCATATCCAGATGTAGCGACGTCAGTGCCCTGTTCAGATTGTCCCCTATCACAACGCCTCTTTCGTTGAAGACCATGGTCTTCACCCTCCTCTCCTTCGTGCTCCTCCTCGCTGCCATTGCACTCTTCATCTGCTTGGCTTTTTGTGCCCCGTTCCTCTATAGCGGCCGCATCTGAAGCTTCTCCATTCTCAGGGGCCATGTTGTTTTTTTGTGGCCTGCCTCTGGGGCGTTTTTCTTGCTCCACCACCTCCACCCTTCTCTCCTTGATTCTCGTCCTCGCTGCCGATGCACTCCTTGGCATCTGCTTGGCTTTTGGTGCCCTGTTCCTCTATAGCGACATCAGTGCCCTGTTCAGATTGTCCCCTATCACGACACACCTTTCGTTGAAGACCGTGGTCTTCACCCTCCTCTCCTTCGTGCTCCTCTTCGCTGCCATTGCATTCCTCTTCATCTGCTTGGCTTTTTGTGCCCCGTTCCTCTATAGCAGCCACATTTGAAGCTTCTCCATTCTCAGGGGCCATGTTGTTTTTTTGTGGCCTGCCTCTGGGGCGTTTTTCTTTCTCCACAACCTGTGCTGCTGTCGCAGCACCACGAGGATTTGCTGCACCACCTCCACCCTTCCCTCCTTCATTCTCGTCCTCGCTGCCGATGCACTCCTTGGCATCTGCTTGGCTTTTGGTGCCCTGTTCCTCTATAGCAGCCACATTTGAAGCTTCTCCATTCTCAGGGGCCATGTTTTTTCGTGGCCTGCCTCTTGGGCGTTTTTCTTGCTGAACATCCTGTGCTGTTGTTGCTGTACCACGAGGATTTGCTCCACCACCTCCCTTCATATGCCTGCGCATATGATCCGCTGTTCCCAAGGACCGTGCCTTCTTGCACACTTGTCTTTGCGAACGTGAGGCCATATACATGCCTGCCTTCGTTAGTCCTCTCCAGTCCTCTTGCAATGAACCCAGATCGTGAAAACAGTTATCAACAATGCAAGTCCAGATGAATGTCAACAGCTGATGAGTACCAAAAATCAAGATCGTGTCCAGACAGAATGAGACGAGATAATCATACACAGACGAAGAAGAGAGGAGGGAGATTAGACAAAGGAGAGGAAATACAATGCCCACTCCTGCTTCAGGCTCCCTCCTCCAACACTTCAATAATAGACGGTCTGAACGAGTATCTGAAGTAACCTCAATGTGCCATGTGGCACGTCTAATTAGTCCTTCATCAGCACTGGAGCAATGTCAACATGAAGACAACCAGGTACGTATTCACGATCTCTCCACAGCCCTGATCTTCCTCTTCCTTGCAACCAGTCACCTCATGTAGACGGCGTGGACAATGCCACGTCAGCAACCAAGACAGGTGGCATATGCCACATCATCAATGAAGACCAATAGCAGCGCCATGTAAACCAGAGGCAGCGCCACGTCAGCATGCCATGTAGACCATAGGCAGCAGCGCCACGTCAGCATGCCACGTAGACCATAGGCAGTGCCACATAGACCAGAGGCAGCGCCACGTTTACGAGAAGCAGCGCCACGTCAGCATG